TCTACCAGTCCAACCCTTTCCTCTTCTTGAATCTCCCTCACAGCACTCCCAGCCGGTCTTCTGGCCTCCGGTCTTTTCGGCTGACAGGGAGTTCACTCTTTCCCAGGGCAACCCATCCTACTATTGGGATTTGGCAGTTAGAAAATTCTAGAAAAGTGCTGACTAGAATTGTTCTGTGCAACCTGACTGAGCAGTGTTAAAAGCCACGGGTACAACAAAATAGCAGCAGGGCCATTCGCTGAGCACCGCTCTGTGACAGGCACTTACCTCGTGAAACCCCCTTCCTTCTGAGGAGGACACACGGGCTCAGAAAGGTTAGGTCACTTGCCCAAGGTAACCCAGCTGTTGTGGTCAATGTTTGTGCTTTAAACCTTAGTCTACACTGGGTCTTCCCAATCAAAACCAAAAATAGCACATACGCCCGCAAATCACCCTACAACAAACAGGCACACACGAAAACCAACCAAGTTACAAGGAAAACAGCCCAAACTTGCCAAGTATTAAATGCCAGGCAAGTCATAATTTTTATGACAAATCAATGTTAACAACCCTCTGGGGAAACTGAGGCTCACTGAGGTTAGAAGACATGGACATGGTCACGTACGGAGGGGCAGGGCAAGGGCCCAGCCACCATTTCTGAAGTCTGCAGGCTCCCACGATACCACGATACCACGTCGCATCACGGGGTGTGGTAGGGCCCAGCCACCATTTCTGAAGTCTGCAGGCTCCCATGATACCACGTCGCATCACGGGGTGTGGTGGGGGGGACTTTAGCCTAATGGGAGAAAACGTTTATAATTTTAATGATCATTCTCATCAACTAGAGCTTTAAAAAGTGGGGTGTGCCTCTTCGGAGAGAGATCACCTCCCTGTACTGGAGGCGTCCAGCAAAGGTGCTTTGGAAGGGTTTCCCACTCTGGTGGGAGCTACACAAGATATCCCTGAGGTTCTATGGGCGGCGAGCATTAACAAGAGACTGGGTACAGCGCAAAGTCAGTATGCAACCCAGAAACAAACTTGGCATTTTCAAGAGTGGATGCTGGGCAGGAGGGAGGCCTCGGCCACCCAGTCCCCGAGCACAAGCCCACCTCTTAGAATCCTGCCCCAGCTCACACTTCTTTGATTGGTCCCCGTGGGGGAGGAGGCATTGGCACGTGGCCTGGGCAGAGGGTCATGTGGATGTGGTGCCCCCTCTGTACATCCCGGGGGCCGCCCATTCACCGAGGCCTTTCCCTTTTTTGAGAACTGGGAGCTTGCTGGCTGGGTCTGTTCCCACCAACAGTGTTCCCGTCCAGGGATCTTAAAATAGTGCCTCTTGGCTGGGGCTCTGCAGTGAGCAGTGAGGCAGGCATTTGTGCAAATATGGGCCTGGGAGAAGGACTCCTACCAGGAGGGTGGAGGGTGGGGTGGGCAGCATGGCAGGAGAGCCAAGACCTCCTGTGGAGGATGCGCCCTCCTGGCCACAGCCCCCCTCCATCTTGCAGCGGAGGCGCCGGCCAGTCTCCTCCTGCCTCCCCCAGCCTTACTGGGTCCACTTGGACTGGTCTTTAGACTGAATCCCATGGGCCCTCCTGGCCCAGCCGAGGTTCCCGGAGAAGCCCACTATGAACAGGGGCCTCTACGTTCTTCTGCTGGTTCTGTCCTTGACCCCACCTAACAATGGCCTTCCTACCTGGGAACACCCCAGAAATATCGCTGAAGGCCCAACTCCAAATTTGTTTTAACAATAACAGTGACAATTGCAGCTGCCATCCACTGAGTGCTTACTGTCGGCAGGCACGCTGCTGAGTGCTTTGACATGCATGATGTCATCTGAGCCTCACGACCATCCACTGGAAGCCAAGTTATTATTATCTCCACTGTGCAGAAGAAACGAAAGCTCAGAAAAGTCAAGTAAGTTTCCCAAGGCCACAGAGTTGTGAACTGGTCGAGGCAGCATTAAAACTCAGGCCTGTCAACCTCTGGAGTCTGAACTCTTAGCCCTTGGGCTGCACCTCCTCCACCGGCTCCCTGCTGCTCTGGCCTCCCGTTCTCCATCCCAGCGTGATCACCCTGCGTGACATACCACTGGTGTGATTCAATGCATGAAACAGCCAATGCCTGCGTCGTGTCGGGAACATTGCTGGGTGCCATGCCCATCCGCTGGGAGTCCTCAGGTCCCCTTGAGGACTCTTGTTTGGGCTTGGGCTCAGTGAGCTCCCCAACACGCAGGGTCCAGTTTGTTTGAGAATATCAGGGTGAGGCTGAGGCAAGCACAGACTCCCCCTTGATGACCAAGAGACCAGCTGGACATGCCCCCTCCTGCCCTGGTTGCAATGCTCCTCTTCTTGTCCCACTGTACGGAACAGCATGTGCATGAATCAAACTTGGACTCCCTGAGCATCAGTTTCCCCATTCTATATTTGGGAAAAAGTTAGGGCCTCACCACAGGGTGGGTGGGAAGATTAAGTGAAACTGTGCAGGAAGGACTTAGCACAATGCCTGCCAGTCAGTAAGTAGATATTAAGCAACAGCTATTATTATTACTAGTTGCTATTTTCTGGAAATTACGGTGTCCGGGTGTCAAATGGCTAGGGCCTAGCACATAGTAGGTGCTCCAAGTGAAGGAAATCACTCACACAGCAGACAGAAGCCCCCTTGCTCATCCTTTCCCCTACCACCCACCCCCTCCTGCGGCTGTGTCATTCCTGCTCTAATGAGGAAGGTGTCCTGGGCACTGGTCCTCATTAACAATAGGGTCACTCGGGCAGCCAGGGGTGGGCACAGGTCCTAAACCCACTCTCCCAGACCCTCATTTTCAGCTCCAAGGCCCATTCCAGAGAAAAGAAGCGGCTGGTGTGGAAGTTCCACCAGGCTTTGCCAGGATCTTCAGGGATGTCTGGTGGCGCCACCTGGTGGCGAGCACAGCACTGCTCCTGGTCAGGCCTGTAGCTCTAAGTGCCTCCACCCTCCTGCTCTGTAGCCCATCGCCCCTTCCCTCATTCACAAGTACAATGTACTGACCACCTCCCGTGTGTCAAGACTTAATGCTGTGGGGCAGAAACCCCTGAAGTCGAAGTCACTATGCCTCCCTCTCAGGCCTGATCACACTCTACCAGAATTCACACTCAGGAAATCTGTGAAGGCAGATGACCCTCCAGTGGTTTCCAGAAGCCAAGGCTGGAGGAAGGGGCCTCCTTCCTGGCCTGAGCTGGCCAAGATGGTCACTGGGCCCATCCTTAACTCCCTGCTGCCCCATTCTTCGCCCTGTCCCTCTGGCTGTTTCTCTGGTTCAAAGGACAGTGGCAGTGGGGCTGGGACAGCCTGGGGTGGGAGTGGGGGCCCTGTTGCCTGAGGAGGTATTTTCAGAGTCCCCCTCCCTCTGGAGTTTCCAGCGATAGAATGGAGCCCTGTCTAGTATTTGACCAAATAAGGTGGTATCTCTCGATGAGCTCAAGCCTCAGCCAGCTTCTCAGTTATGCTGTGGAAACCTGCCCTGGACAGATTAATCTTGTGACATTCAGGAGCGCCTCGCACCCCGCGTTCTTCCCCTAGCCCATTCCTGTAAATGGCCAAGAGTGGCCCCTCCACAGGGCGCCGCGATCCTGGATGTCTGTTCACAGTGTCCCTCCCCTGCCCTCTTCCCCCTCCCCCCGCCCCCACATCCCGCCACCCTGGGTGGACTACTCCCTCACAGTTGGCTGGGCTGTTCACTTGAGTGAGAGAGCTCGACCAGCAGGGCTGGTCAGTTCAGCATGTGATTCCAGGACACATAGACCCCGGGGTCACCTGAGCTCACAAAATTGTGGCCAGAGCCTGTGAAACCCAGAGCGCTCTCAGCCAGGAGGCTGAGCCCGGGGGCGGGGGGGTGGAAAGGAGATTCGGCTGAGCAATGCAAACTGTGCTAGCTCTAAGAACAGTTAATGTTTATAAAAACAATTATAAAATTATTTTATAATAATGTTCATAATAAACAGTTAAGTGTTTATTGAGCAGTTACTACGTGCCAGGCACTGTGCCAGATGGGCTATTTCTTTTACTCCTTATAATAGCCTCCAAAGGTGGATGCTGTGATGATCCCTTTTCGAGAGATGTGGGAACTGAGCCTCAGAAAGGTTTCAGGGAGAGATGGGCCAGGCCTCTGTCAGTTCCTGGGCACGGCACTCATTTTACAGAGAAGGCAACTGAGGCTGAGAGAGAATCAAAGTCACAGACAGTCACAGGGGGCCAGGTCCCTGGCGTGGAGACCTTCTCTATGCAAGGGAAGGCCAGCACGACTGGCCATGAAGTCCTCATGGATCTGAGACTTGGCTGGTGTGAGAACACAGATTCAGAAACACATTCCCAGCAGGCCAGAATTGCACAGAAAATGTCCCAAGAAAAACAGCCTGGGCTGGTGGATAGAGCCCTGCACAGGACCAGGTATGAACCCCAGCTCTGTCCTCTGTAACTCACCATGTCATCCTGCACAAGTCCCTTCCTGCTCCAGCCTCAGTTTCCCCGCCTGTGAACTAAGGAAGCAAAACTCCCGTCACCAAAGGCTGTTGAGCTCACCTGAGACCGGGTGAGGCCAGAGTGCCTGCGTCTGTTTCCCTGGGAGATGGGGTCTGTGTCCTGCTCCTGGCCAGCACACTCTGAGAACATTTGCTCTCCTGACCAATGGACAGCCCGTCCCTCCTCTGCCCTCACCCCCTTGCCATCCCCAAAGCAAACGAAGCTGATTGTCTTAGCAGGCCCTGTGGGTGCTGGCCGGCCGGCCGGCCGCAGGCCACAGACGGAGGTGCCACCCGCCAGAGCCCCACCAGACACACAGGGCATTGTCCCTTAGTCAACAGCCCCTGGGCACCTCGGCCGGTTCCTGGCCTGCCCCCACGCCCCTCACCGCCTGCCACTGCGCCAGGCCCAACCAGCTGGGGGCCCAAGCCGATGACGAGCCCACCCACCCCCAGCAGCCCCCTGATGAGCTATAATTGCTTCGCTCCATCCTGTTGCTGCCATTCTCTTGGAGGAGGCATCTGGGGTTCCAGGCGGGCGGCAGCTGCAGGCCGACCGCCTGGCTCGTCGGGATGGACTGGCTGTACAACCTGGTACGTGGCGCTTCCCCACCCCCACCCCTTTGAGGGCCCGAGTGTTTCCGTACTTCTTTCCTATTGATTAATGTCTGGCTCTGTTTGGCTTGGAATCGGCCTAGTTCTCCCTCTGCCCTCTCCCCCAGGGCTGGAGAGAAACAGACTGGTCTCACAGCCTGCAGCCATGGCCAGTAGCTCAGGCTCCTGAACTGGGCCCGTCCACACTGAAGCCCTTTCAGGCCAAAGGCACCTGGGGCGATCCTGGCAAACTCAGTTATCGGGGTTTTTCCAGCGAGTCCTTGGGTGCTGAGAGCCAGGCGGTGTGACCCAGGGCAAGCCCTTCTGTGTCTCTGTGTCCCACCTGCAACATGAGAGAAGGGGCCTCTGATTCTGTTCCGTGTCCCTCTGCATGAGGAGCCAGAGTTTGAGAACACCGCGTGAGAGACGCAGATGCGAGGAGAAAGCCTATGGTTAGGGAGACATCTTTCTGCATCAGGATCTAGGACCAAAGAGGAAGAATGTAGTGACTTGACTCTCTGTCGTGGATTTTGCTCCAGGAAATGGCTCTGCCAAGAGGGACTACGCTCAAACTTGTTTCCAAGGGTCAAGACTTGCTGGGTAGCCTGGAAAGGTCAGGCGCGGGCCATGTGAACTGTGGGGTGAGGGACACAGGGCAGGCAGGGGCCTGGCTAGATTCCGTGAGGAGATGAAACTCCCCCTGAAGGTTTCCCCCATCTGCCAGCCCTGGCCCTCCCCCAAGCCCTGGCCCTTCTCTCCCCGGCTTCCTGAGGAGTCTGGGTTCTGCTGGCCCCCGGGGCCTCTCCTGTGTGAGCCAGGGGCTTTCCTGACACTCCGGGTTCTGAGGGCAGAAATGGACGGCAGGTGAGGGTGGAGAGGGGTGGGTGAGGGAGGACAAGGGGTGGGGCAGGCAGAGGGTTAGGGGTGGAGGAGGAGAGCACAGGTGCCATGGAGTCCAACAGAGATCCTGGGCCTCCACCTGCCTCCCTGTTTCCTTCCAGCAAAGCTCTTAACCAACTCAAACCTCCTCTCACACTGTTTCCCATCTGCCTCCCTCTTATCCTTCAAACTTCACCTGACATGCCTGCACCCCGGAAAAGCTTTGCGGGACCCTACACTGCCACCTGGCTAAGCGGGTGGCCCTGTTCTTCTCTAACCACGTGCTGCAGGGTCCCACCATCGCACTTATCTCTAGGGAGATTTAGGTGTTTGCTTTCTTGTTCACCATCTGTTCTTTCTCCCAGACTGTGAGCTACAGAAGGCAAGGATGGTGACAGCCATTCATTCACTCAGACACGGGGGCTAGAACAGTGTGAGGAAACTGGCGCAATGCCTGTCCTCATGGGGTCTGTGCTTAGTGGGGGACAGGCATAGAAGAGAATCACACTCAGAGACTGTAAGACTGTAGTCATGCAAGAGGCATGTGGTGTTGAGAGCCCAAGAAGACCCACCAAGGCCTCCGTAAGGAAGTGACACTAGAGAGGCATTTAGAGGGCGAGGAGAGAGGCCCTCTGCAGGTAGTAGCCTGTGCAAAGTCCCTGTGGCAGGAAGGAGCATGGTGAGAGGAAGGGAATGAGAGAAGGCCAGCTGCTGAGATGTGGGTGTGAGTGGAAGCTCAGGCCCAGGAAAGTGACTTTATTAGATTTGCATTTCAAATAGCTGTTCTTAGCCTAGATGTGGAGAATTGATTCGAAGGAGGGGGGCGGGGACTGTTGAGCTGTTCAGGGTAGATTTGCATTTCAAATAGCTGTTCTTAGCCTAGATGAGGAGAATTGATTCGGAGGAGGGGAGGGGGACTGTTGAGATGTTCAGGGAAGTGAGAACACTGATGCAGATAGAGAGAAGTGGATAGGTGGGAGATTTTTTCCCCCCAAAAGAAGAAAAATAGACTTCATTTACAAGTAATGATATTTAGAAAAGACCCATCCCTGGCCCTTAAAAACCTCTCCATCAGTTCAAATGGGCAGGGAGATGTTTGAAGGGTGCAATAGATAAGACTTAGTGATGAGTGTGGTGCATAAAAGTGTTGGCACACAGGAGTGGTGGGCTGGTGGGACCAAGACAGGGCATGGCAGGTAAGAATCACTCCCATAAGGCCTTCCCTCTTTTTTTTCTCCACTCTGAGCCCTGACTCTTGGCCCAGAGGGAGTCCTGGCTCTCTGACCTTTGACCCATGACCTTCCTCCTCAGCTATTTCTTCTTACCATCTCCATCTTCCTGGGGCTGGGCCAGCCCAGGAACCCCAAAAGCAAGAGGAAGGGGCAAGGGCGGCCTGGAACCATGGCCCCTGGGCCTCACCAGGTGCCACTGGACCTGGTATCGAGGGCAAAACCATACGCCCGCATGGAGGAATACGAGAGAAACCTCGGGGAGATGGTGGCCCAACTGAGGAACAGCTCTGAGCCAGTGAGGAGGAAGTGTGAGGTCAACCTGCAGCTGTGGCTGTCCAACAAGAGAAGCCTGTCACCATGGGGCTACAGGTAGGCCAGGCTGGGTAGCCGTGGGAAAGCTGCATTGCATGTTGCTGGTTGCACGGGGAGGGGGGCACCTTGGCCACTGTCCCCATCATTGTAAGAGTTAAGACCTTGGATGCAGAGGCCTGAACGCCTGGGATGAAATCCTGGCTCTGCTTCTTACTTGCTGTGGGGCTTTAGGCAAGTTGCTTAGCCTCTCAGTTTCCTCAATGGAGGTGATAGAAGTACCTACTTCATAGGTTTGTTATTAAATGAGATATCCATGCAGAACACTGCTGTTATTGTTCTCCAAGTCCCCACTGAAGTACCTGCAAGGCTTTCCCTGAACGTCAATTCCTCCAGCTCGGGGTGTCTTGTGTACACCTCTCAGTTACAGCACTTCCAGGTGGTCTTGAGTTGACTGTGTCCATGTCTGTCTCATGCTAGACTAGGACCTTCTACGGATTCTCATGCTCCATCTAATCCAAACCTCCAGGGCTGAGGCCCAGAAGGTGGGATTTTATACATCTCCACGTGATGAGGATGCACAGCTAGGTTTGAGAGTCACAACCTGCTGCCCCTAGATGGAAGGGGTGGTATCTTAGCTTGGTTGTAGCTCCACTTCCTAGCACAGCACCTGGCACCCAGAAGAAGCCACATCTATATGTGTTGAATGAATAATGATGAAACAGACTAACCCTGAAGGGTCCTCTCACAAACTCAGGCCACACAACCGATGTCCAGAATAGCATGTTCAATAGAACATTCTCTGATGATGTCAAGTCCAGCCAGCCTCATGTGGCTCTTGAGCACCTGAGGTGTGGCTGGTGTGACTGGGAAGCTAATTTTGATTAATGTAAATAGCCACATGTGGCTAGTGGCTACCATATCTGGAATGTGGCCATTGGAAGTGGCCATTAAGATCCTCCAAAAATAAAATAATAAAATAAAATAAAGTAAAATAAAATAAAAATCCTCCAAAGCTGGGCCTCTCACTGTACTGTGCCCTTGACTTTTTGGAGATCTTATAAAAATGCAGGTTCTGATCAAGAGGGGGTGGGGAGATGGGCAGGACACAGATTCCACATTTCTAACAAGTTCCCAGGTGATCCTGACACTGCAGGTCCACAAGTCAAGTTCACCCCTCACATTTAGCAGACGAGGAAACCGAGACACAGTGAAGACAGGGTCACACCTCAAGTCCCCATCCTCTCAGCTGTAGGAGGGAACTCCTCTGTGCTGTCCATCAGTGAACACCCTAGGCCAAGGACAGACTTGTTCCCATGGTGGGTGGGTGAACAATATTTGTTGCATGAATAGAAATTAAGTCAGAATAGACCCCAGGCCTCCTGACTCCTCTTTTAGTGAGAATTAGGCATAAATGTTCTCAAATATTAACTTCCCGTGGATTAAGTTCCTCAAGACTATAAGTAAGGGGGTGGGGAGGCAGAGGGTCCTTAGCTTCTTTGTGACCCCACAGCACCATGTAGTAGTAGGATAAGGATCTTGCTGGAGGAAAGAAGAAAACTGGGTGACTGACTGGTGTCCTTGAACCTGGATAACCTTGGGGTGCCTGACTTGCCTTCCAAGGTTCCTTTTCTCACCCGGAACACGGAGTTGATTACTGTCCTTCCTGTGGCGAAACACAGGCTTGCCTGGGAATGAAAACCCGGGGTTAGGAAAAGCAGAGGCGTGGGGCGTGGGGGCCAATTTGCTGCCCCTCCCCCCCAAACACACCACCAGCAGCAGCCCTGCGTTCTCTCCTGTCCTCTTGCAGCATCAACCACGACCCCACCCGCATCCCGGCGGACCTGCCTGAGGCGCGGTGCCTGTGTCTGGGCTGCGTGAACCCCTTCACCATGCAGGAGGACCGCAGCATGGTGAGCGTGCCCGTGTTCAGCCCCGCGCACGGGGCCCTGCCGCCAGCGCGCAGTTATGGAGACCATCGCCGTGGGCTGCACCTGCATCTTCTGAATGGCCCAGACCCCGGCCCAGGACCTGCGGGCAGCTGGAGAGCGCCCTCCCTGCACCCCACACAAGGCCAATGAAAAGTAAACGCTGTCTTTCTAAAGCAAGACCTTGGGTTTGCTTCTTGTGGCTCTGAAGCCAAAACCAGGGTGGGGGTAGGAGGTTCCTGGGAGGTAGAGTTCAGATCAATATAAAGGAGGACTTCCCATCGCTCAGCCTTCTCCAACGCTGAAATAGGTGATTAAAAAAAATACTGCATTTACTTCCACCATTTCGGACAGTCACATACTTCCTTTAATTTGGGTTTATAAGGCTTATTTCAGTCATGTCATTGGAGCGTGGTTGCTATAAACGTCTGCAGGAGTGACCAAGCATTAACTCTCCCTAGGTAGGTGCAGGACCATTGCAAACAATCTCTCCCCTGTCTCTGTGAGGGTCCAGCAAAGGCTGAGCCGCTCAAGAATATGGCAGAGCAGATTCCTGCTCTGGGAGGAATAAGGTCGCCTTCAACTCGGATTCTCTGCAGGTTCAGCCTTAGACCCAGAGAGGGGCCTCGGGGCTGCCAAAGGGCAGGGGTTTTTACCCTGGGCCATCGAGCCCCTGAAATGGTCATGTGGGAATGCACTTATTCTGGTCTGGGGATCTCTGGCTTTGCACTCGAGAGTTGAGAAGCATCAACATAGATCATGCTTTCCTCCAGCCGTATCCACAGGGGGATCTGGTGAGATGGTTTGCTGACAGCAGTGGTTCTGAAACCTTAGCCAGCGTGAGAATCACCCGGAGGGCTGGTTAAAGCACAGATTGCTGGGCCCCACACGCAGTGGTTCTGAAATGATTTGGTCAGTTCGACATGGGGGCTGAGCCTCACATTTCTAAGGCAGTGTTTCCTGCTGCTGGTCCGGGGACCACCCTTCGAGAACCACTGGTTTATATCAAAGCACTTTACTGATAAAAAAGGCAGTGTGGGTCGACTTGCCCGAAAGCTCCCCCCCGAGCTGCTAATTCCCACCCACCCATCAGCCCTTTGCAACTCAATCCTCCCCCTGCCCTCCTAGCCCCTGCACCAAATCCTAAATCAGCTGCTCCCAGGTCTAAAAATACCTTCCTGCCCCCAGGACAGCTGAGGGGCTCAGGCTGTTTTCTGAGGGTAAGAATAGCTGGCTCTTTAGAGTCGTTTCAGTAGGAGGGCCATCGGCCAGTATAGAAATATGCGGCTGCTCTCACTTCAACGCTTACAGCAGCTTTAGCTCTGAATGTATTAAGGCTCCATAATTCATGAAAGGGCACCGGTTAGGTTAGGTATGTGTCTGTCTGGGGTGGTAAGTAACTTACCTTTTTTGGTATTGTTCTAGAGTGGATACTGGTTAAAATTACCCCAGGAAGCTTCGGCCTGGCTCCAGACACATGGAAAATAGATTTCTTGTGCCAGCCCATGCTGATGCCTCCAGCAGCCGTGTCCCCTCCCTGGGGGGTTGCTTGTCTCTGAGGCCCCCACAGCCTGCTCTTCAGGCCTTAAAACTTGAGCCGAACATGAGGGACCCGGGGCCTCCAGGGCCTTTTTGTGGGGTGAAGGCGTGGGAAGATTTGAGAGGCGAGATGGTTGCTCTGGTCCTGGGAGGAGACCCCAGGTGCCCTGGGCATAGGGGTTGGGTGGGGAAACTCCTCACCTGGTGGGACTCCTCCCAGAGCACCAGACACACAGAGATCCTCAATGAACACCAGTTAGTTTATTAGTTTTGTATGGAGGTTGGCATTTTCTCTTTCCAGGTGTCAGTTTTCTCATCTGGAGCTTGGTCTCGTGAGCCTGGGGGGGCAGCTGGCCCTTCCCAGTCTCCTGGTTTAAAGGCAGCAGCAGGGAGCTCGGGACCTTTGGAGAACCGGGTCCACACTGTGCCCCCAACCTCCTTTGGTTGGAGTTTAAATGTGTCTCCTGCTTTCCACTCTCTGGTGAGAGTCCCCCAACTCCGTAAGAATAGGGGCCTCATCTGCCAACTTCAGTGCTGCATCCCCAGCACCTAGCACAGTGCCACATTCAAAATAGGGGTGCAGAACTCGGTGAATGAATGCATGCATGCATTCATGCAAGGAGGCCTCAAGGGGAGCCCAAGATCTGCCCCTAGCTCCCTCTGTTGCTCCTTCAAAGGTGGGTCAGGAGCAAGGCTCTCCTCCCTCCCCACTGTTCTTCACCCACCCCCAACTCTACCCTCCACAGCCCTCCTCCCACCGAAGAGCTGAAATCCTGCTTGAGCCACCTGCTCTAGGAGTGAAGTTCCTTTGAGGAGTTCTAAACGTATACTCCACTGCCCCCAGGGTGACTGAGAATGTGTGACCTCTTTCCTGTTTTATCTGGTAGATGATAGGACTCTTTGTCTTTGCAAAAGCTCTTCTCCCAGAGGGCTGTGGGTCCCTGGGGGCTCCTGGTAAGCCTGGGGGCAAAGGGTTCCCCCTGGTTCTCATGCTCCCTTACGGATCTCTGCCCTTTCCTCGTAGGTGGGAAGGTGGTGAGATGCAGCTCTCAGGTTTGGGCCTGGGGAAGTGGGCAGCATGGGCATTTTGGCCCAGTTTGTTTCTGAGCTGTTCAGGCCTGTGTACCCAGACAAAGGAAGTTTCTGAAGAAGCAGCCAGCTCCACAGCACTCAAGCTGGGCATGGAGCCAAATGCCAGCTTCGGGGATCAAATGTAACTGCCCTGGTTTGCCTCTTTTGTACACATCCGTAGGGAGGCAACAAAGGGGTGGTTATCAGGGACAAGTTTATTGGTCTTGGTCCTCTGGCCCCAAACCAATGATCATCCGTTACTCCATGATAGCCCGAGGCATCTCCATTTTAAATATAAACCATGGAAGGATGCCATTTCACACTGATTTCAGTGGACTTGAGAAAAGGGAATGGTCACAGCCCCATCCTACCTGTGGCTGACATTGTGCGTCTCTCCAACACCCTTTCTCCCCCTCTGCCCTTGTAGTTTGGATGAGACCACCTCTGCTCCAAGGGTGGGGCCTGGCTGTTCTAAGCCAATCAGCATGTGGCATTCACTTGGCCACAGGAATTGGTTCAGCAGGGGCCTAACTGGCCCAGAGCCCAGACTTTGGCTCAGGGGTCGTGGGAGAAGATGCTCTCGCTCTGGGAGCTGTTGGCAGGCATCCTTGACCATGAGAGAAGTAATGGCGCTGGCACTGCACAGTGCCCTGAGCTGGGACTGTTATGATAACCAATAAAACCCTTTTATTGCTTAAGGCAGTCTGAGTTTGGTTTTCTACTACGTCAACCAAAAGCATTCTTACCGACGTGTCAACTTCAAAATTCCTGTAGTAACCAAGGGCATGTTTCTCTAACTTTAAAGGCACCAACGCTTTAATGACCACTGCCATCACCTCCGCAGGGTAAAACTTCAGAGCCAGTTTGGGCCTCTGCCTACTTGAAGGGGATTTTGCCCCATGCTGAACTCAATTCATTAGGAGAAGCTCCAGATTTTAACTCTGTTCTGTGAACTCACCAAGAAACCTTGGGCAAATTACTTCCTCATTTTGGGCTTTTATCTCCATCTCTTCAAAAAAAGGGAAGTTAGCCCTAGCCGGTTTGGCTCAGTAGATAGAGCGTTGGCCTGCGGACTAAAGGGTCGCAGGTTCGATTCTGGCCAAGGGCATATGCCTGGGTTGCGGGCTTCATCCCCAGTAGGGGACATGCAGGAGGCAGCCTATCAATGATTCTCTCTCATCCATGCTTCTATCTCTCTATCTCTCCCTTCCTCTCTAAAATCAATAAAAAAGTGTATTAAAAAAAAAAGGGGAAGTTAGCCACATTATCAGTGTCCCTTGGCAGTATTGTGTCCTCCTGGGCCCAACCCCAGAGCCAGATTTAGCAGGTCTGGGTGGGACTTGGACATCCTAATCATGTTAACCTCTGAACTGCACCCCAACACCTTTTCTTTTTTTACTCTGCGGGGGTCAGTGCTTGGGGGTCAGGTATGACTGCCGTATGCTCATCTAGGGACTTGTCTCCATGCAAGACAGGTCATTGTTACATTCCTCAACCCCTGCATAATGGACAGACTGGTCAATTCCTGCAAGTGCCAAGGAAGTTTTCCTCTTCCTACGGCCTGGTATGTTTCCCATTTCCCTGTGGTTGCCAGGAAGCTTGGAGCTACACTGACTGTCCCTCGGGGGTAACCATCTCTTCCCTGGGTCCTACCACAGCCATCTCTCCAACAAATAGTATTGCTGAGAGGCTTGGATGATGTCTAATAAGTTATTTTTTTTAAAAAAATTGATTTAAGAGAGAGGGGGAAGGAGAGAGAGGGAAACATCGATTTGTTCCACTTATTTAATTCCTGCAAGTGCCAAGGAAGTTTTCCTCTTCCTACGGCCTGGTATGTTTCCCATTTCCCTGTGGTTGCCAGGAAGCTTGGAGCTACACTGACTGTCCCTCGGGGGTAACCATCTCTTCCCTGGGTCCTACCACAGCCATCTCTCCAACAAATAGTATTGCTGAGAGGCTTGGATGATGTCTAATAAGTTATTTTTTTTAAAAAAATTGATTTAAGAGAGAGGGGGAAGGAGAGAGAGGGAAACATCGATTTGTTGTTCCACTTATTTATGTGCTCATTGGTTGATTCTTATATGTGCCCTGACCAGGATCAAACCCACAACCCTGGCATATCGGGATGATGCTCTAACCAACTGAGCTTCCTGGCCAGGGCAATAAGTTCTTAACCAGGCACCTCACATCCAAGAAGCCCTCCGTAAATAGGAGCTATTATCATGTCTTCTGTTTCCTGATCTTCCCTTCTTCTTGATTTGTGACCATCTGGTTACTCGTGTCATTGTTGGTGTTGTCACAGGTACATTTTGGGAGTAGGCAGTGAAAAACAACAAAGAAACTGGATTCAGAGTTCTCTGTCTTCTATTCATTCCCATCATTATCTCTGTCTTCTACTTAGAAAAGCCAGTCAGAAGTAGCTGGAGAAGATGGACTTTTATTTCTTCCTTTAAAAAAATAAATAAAATGAATACACTGGTCTGAATTTCCTTCCCTTCTCTTACTCTCTCTCTTAAAAAGGAAC